GGAATCCAGCCATCTGCTGACCCCTTCAACTTAATCTTTGCAACAAAAAAATCATAGTAAGGCAACTGAAAACAGGGGCCAGACAATGGCATAGCAGTGATGTATAATGTTCTGAGAAACTGATCCACTTAGGAAGGTTCCAGATTGCCATCCAGGGACCTCACAGAGTACCCAAGGCAAGTATGTGCACATGAAGCTGGGGAACGGAGCGGGCATCGCAATGCCGTTGGGGTTGCTGTTTCTCTGTCACTTTCTGTTTGCTTGCTCATGATGTAAATCAATTTAAAAAAACAAAAAGAGAAAAAAAAAGTTTTATTCCTTACCACATGCCAAATAATTCATATTCTTAATTTACTTTAAATCACAGAACCATTCTTTTAAACTGTATTTTATGGATGATGAACTTGAAACTTGGAAAGGTTAAGTAATTTCTCCATGACCATGTATCTCAGAAGTGGTAACAGTAGGATTCAAGCCTCAGCTTGATTTCAAAGCACCTGTTCTTTAGGGCAGACTTTGAGTCTGCCAAAGAAAGTCTAAATGAAAGTGGAAAAGTAAACAAGAATAAGTGTATGTTTATCACTTTTTCTAAATAATAGTTCAAAATGAACTTCACCAGTTGCCATTAAATGATAATTGCTAAGTACTCTTTTATACATAAAGCACTTCAAAAAGGTCATGGAAAAATGGAACGAAGAGTTTATTTTAGTGTGAAATTAAAAAAAAAAAATCCATGCATAGTTTTTTGTTGTTTGTTTTTAGAGGTTTTTGTCTCTGGTGAACCCCTTTAGGGCACATGGGCTTATCAGGGAGAGAGACAGATAGACATTCTCCTTCTGGGATCTTGGGCATATATAAACATGTGCCTGGTATGAGTTTTTAAGCCACCAGGTCTGGGGTTCGAACCATGTTGTCATGTAAGAGTCCAGTAACATAACTGCTACCCCATTTGCTAGCCCCCACCATGCATTTTTCATGAATCTTTTGAAGACTTCTTGTATCATGGGTTGAGTCACTAATAAAATACTTAAGCAAAAAATTTAATTTTTTCTGATATATATTTTATCACCTTAAATTTATATTTCAATTGTACCATCAAACGTTCTTAATTACCTACTTTTATTCTAATAGCTTTGTATTTATTCTCACCCTAGTCAAAGATTATTATGAGGTGAGTTGATTTTCTCCTTTGCAAGTTAGAGCAAGATAATAGGAAATGACAATCTGTTTTGTTTGTTTGTTTTCATCTTTCAAAGAACGGAAAGAGTAACCTTATCTATATGTCATTAAATTCTTTTCTATAATTTATGTGGTTATTGGGCAAGGAACTTCTTATTTTTAAAAAGTTCAAATAGATCAAGAGTGAGCTGATCTTGTGGCCTAGTGGTTAAGGGAACTGGATCCCACAAGGTTGAGTAGCATGTGCATGCATGCCCCAAATACCAACAGAATGAAGGTGAAGGGATTGTGGCATGACCATGTCTCTTTGGGGAATCCCTCTCTCTTTCATTCTCTTTCTCTCTCTGGCAAGTATACTTGCCTTCTGGTAAAAACAAACAACAACAAAACAACTTACAAAAAAAAGAGACCCCCCCCCCCAAATCAAATAGACCATAAGTATTTCCAGTAATTCCAGGAGTATTTCTCAGCAACTTCAAAATCTATATTTCTGAAAACTCAGAGCTTTATCCCTTCTCAGAAGGTCTACCTCCGTGTTTATGGATCTACTTAGCATACATTTAAATATCTAATGATTGATCAAACTAGCAACCATTAAAGATAATGTATATTCTGATGTCTTTCTTTAACAGATACAGCTTCATAATACTTAGAAGGCCAGGTCGGGGTTCTGCCCCAGAATGAGGTGACTTGTCTTCTTTCAACTCTGACTTCTAGTTCCATCCTGCACTACAGGTGCCTTAGAGGTAACTCCATCTTTTTCTAAACTAAATGAACAAAAAAAGTTAGCTTTGAACACCTCTTGGTCTTAGGATTGCATACCCCCATGGTGGTTTTCCTTTAAAAGGATAGACCTAGGAAGAGTCTCACCCAGGTCATGGTGCCCTAGAGGCAGAGAAGGCTGGGATCCTGGATACTCATAGAATAGTCTAGAAATAGGGGCACAAGCTCCAAGGTGACATGCTCTATTTTTGGGTAGAATCCTTGGCACTGAGTTGTGTGACTGCAGGAGGGCCAGAGTGAGGGCCTCTAAAGTGGGACCTCCAAAGCACAGGCCATACTTACCCAAGGTCTAAGAGTGACAGTGCTTCTCCATTTTGCATAGCCGCAGTTGTGGCAGAGTAGCTCGAGCCAATCACATTGCTGACCAAGAAAGTCAAATCAGGGTACGGCTGGTACGTTCTTTCAAATATTAAGAATTAACTAAGAACATCTATCTTGGTATGAAGTTTCCAGAAAGATTTCCAGAAGGTCCATGGAACTTCATCACCCTCCCCTTTACACTGACTTTTCTTACCCTTGACTCACTCATCAAACTAATATTGAGATCATTTCCTAAATTATTTCTTCAGTTTGCACTTCTGTGGCTCAAGTTAGATGATTGTTCAAGGCAGCGCAATTCTTTAGTTTTGACTCCTGGTACTTGCTCTTAAATCTCCTTTTTTCTTTTGGACTATACAGTTGGTTTTCTAAATAGTTCTGTAGTTTCATCATTTTCTCTAGACTTACACCTTAAAAGAAGATATTTCTTTTTCCATTCTATTAATTAAATTTGCTACCATAGAAGAAGACATGTAAATATATTTAGAGAAAGACACACTGTGAATTATTTCCTATAATGTTTAAGAAATATTACTCTGGGGCTGGCAGGTAGCATGGTGTTTAAGGTGCTGGATCCTACATGGCCAACTTGGCAGTTCAAGTCTCAGACCTGGTGGCTTGAAAAACACACCAGGTTCAAATACATATATACCTAAAATCCAAGAGGAGAATGAAGGAGAAGAGATTATGGCATGAACATCCCCCTGGAAGTGGTTTCTTACTTTCCCTCTCTGTTTCTGTCTCTTTCTATGTCTCTGGCAAGTGCCTAGGCCTTACAGAAAACATCTAAAATTATAATAATAAATATTACTGTGAAGTATAAAAATAATATTTTATTTTCCCAATTTAATGACCTTTTATTGCATTCATAGAGGAGAATAAATTAAGTTCCTATGTGCTATTTAAACTTCAGATATAATTTTGTGGCAAAAATTAATATTTAATATGACTTTTTATCAGAAAAGTAACTTAAAGAGAGTTAAAAAACAAACCTGAAAATATTTGCTTATGCAGCATAGGCTTTTCAGCAGTTATTTTTAAAGACTGAGGAATTAGGCACCTGTCATTTTTTGCCAGCTGGTGTAGATGTTAAAAATTACTGTTCCTCTTCTGCCTGCTACTCTATTTTGCACCTGTTGCTACTTGAGTTATGGGTATTTCACACATGGTAATTTAATAAGGTTAGGTCCCATGACAGCATGCAAGATTTTATCCCATTGAGGGTTAAAGCTGTTTTATAAGGTCTTGAGGGAAAAGTATTAAATATAAAGTTTGACTCTAAACATTTAGTACCTTGTAGATATCACATTTTGTTTAATGAAAAAAAAATGTGAGGAATGTAGAATATGGGACATTTAGCCACATATCCCAAAACTAAAACGAGCCTTTTATAATTGAACTATTTCTACCAGTCAACTTCTCTACATGGTGAAATTTGTAATTGAAAAAAATTTGTTTGATGTAACTACAGAAGATTAATATGCACTGAAAGCTTTACTGTTCAGTATGGTAGTCATAAGTCACAAATGGAAATTTAAAGTCAAATTTAAAGTAATTAAAATTGTATTCCTCAGTTGTACTAGAGCGTTTCAACTACCCATAGCCACATGTGGCTGGGGATTATAATATAAGACAATGCAAATACAGATTTCCATTTTCACAGAAAGTTCTTAGAACAATGCTCTGTGATATTTCCAACTCCTGGTCCTAAGTAAACATGGCCTTAACAACCATGAAGCCATAGTGTATTTTCTTTAAAAGAGTGATGTGAATGTCTCATGATTATCTCGGCTACAAACACATAGTTTGAGGTTGACACGTCAGTTGTTCAAATGACTGACCTTTGAGAGATAAAAGAAACACTTTGCCCTAAATCTCCCAAAAATGTGTAGGCAGGCAGGTACTTTGCAGAGATTTTCTAATCTCAAATATGATAATGATATTTTTAGAAAGGTGGGGACTAGTATTTGTCACTCATCTCTTAGAAATATTCAACTTAAAAACTTCTAGATTGTGTTCTAAAGAAAAAGTGAAAGTATTCAGAGATGGCAGAGTTTATCTCGTGAATGTTCCTGTCAACTAGACTTACTATTTTTGACATGTATTGAAAGATCAAACTGAGATTTAGAGATATGGACATGCAAAGAAGGGAGAATCCTAGGAGGAAATAAATATTAATAAACAGGATTTTGAGTTCCAGAGCAGAAATACCAACTAGAGAGAATTTTTTTTTTTAAGTAACAGCTGAAAGGTCACTTTAATATTTATCTTTGAAGATATTCAGTGAGAAGGATCAAGGGCTTATTACAAATTTTGAATAGGCCAGATTGTTACTAGAAGTGAATATAGAAAGCTATGACCAAAATGATGTACACAAATTTGAAAGAACTGCTTTCATCTTAAATCGTGACCAAAATGATGTACACAAATTTGAAAGAATTGCTTTCATCAAAAATCACTTGGATGGTTTATATAAAAACATTTTTTATCCTGTCTAGATTTTCTCAGTTCTCTATTTAACCTTTTCAATAAAGTAATAAAATAACCACATATTATTACTTTATTAGCCAATTTGTTATTGTTATATAGATTGTAAATAATTTATTCCTTTAAAAGTCTATAAATCATCAGCATTCATACATTTAACAAAAGGACTGAGGTACTTAAAATTACACTCATTACAAAAGAAAATAAAAACACAATGTGAGTTGAACATTCCAGACTGACCAAAATTGTTTATTGATTTTATTATTTTTAAGGATCTTGTTGACCCTTGATCCCTAGCAGATAATAAAGAATGGTGCTTGGATTTGACAGAGTCAGTATTTTATTGTCTTTTGCAGCAGACAACTGGTTTGCTTGGTGTGAATACAATTCAGAGAAAAACTCAAGGTATATAAAAATCAGGGATTCTTCCAGTCTAGAATGGTCCAGATTATTTTGTTTTACTGAATGATGGTAAGTAGATCTGGACAATCATAGGTGTTCTTAAAATAAGGTTCCAGCCAGTCTTCCTAAACAATGCTTGTTCTGTAAAGGAAAAGGGAGAACTAATGAGATGATTGCCACTTTTTAGAAAGAAAATTCAGGAGGAAATTATGTGATGTGCAAAAGAAGTGAGAGCACAAGAGAACCAGCACGGACAAGGTAAGCCATTCCCTCCTGGTTTAAGAACCTGGTTGCAAGTGCCTGAATCTGGACTGTTATAACATGAATTTATAGGGCAGTAATTGTTAGAAAGTATGTTAGTTATTCAAAGAACTTAGGCCCATGGTTATTCTCCAACTAAATTAACTAGTCTGTGCTTTGTTGTATCTCCACTGCATACCTAAAATATAGTCAAAAAGATAGATTTATAGAGAGAAGCAAAAACATACTAAACTTTAGCTTCTACACTTATTTAAGAATGTTCTATTGTTAAATGACTCATTTCAAGGAGTTTTTTAAAAAATTTTCTGGTTAATATAAATAACTCTTAATTAGGAACCAATGTCAATTATATCTATAGCTTACAAAGCAACACAGTTACCTTGTCAAAAGACTATTGAGAAAGCCTTATATAATAGAGAGAGAACAGGTGTATACCTTGAAAGCTCCATTTAGATAGACATGATGTGTTTGACAAAAGCTGTAAGGATAATAAAGACAGTTTAGAATTAGAATATAGTCAAACTTAATTTTAAAAGATTTAGCAAGCGAGCTTACTATTCTTAGCTGCAACAATAGAGTTTACTATCTTAAGCTCGGTACAGCCCACTATTCTTAATACTGAGTTTACGACTTTACCCAGATTTTCTAAATTTAAATTGTTGTATAGGTGGTACATTTACATGGTTTAAATTGTTTTTCTTTAAAGTGTTCCTTACTGCTGTCTGCCTGCCACCTGGTTTCTTTCTTTATAGTTCAAATACTGTCATAGTCTATACACTGTTTATACTTGCTTTTCTCAATTAATAATTTATCTTGGATATATTACCGTAACTATATACAAGATTTTTTGTTGTTGTTATTTTTGCTATAGGGCACATATGCCCATCAGAGAGACAGAGAGACAGAAATGAAGAAATTACTCCCTGGAGGGATGGTCGCTCAGGTCTTTATTCTTTTTTAGGCTACAGAAAATTGTACTGTATAGATGTACCAGAGTTTATTTGATACATTGCACATTGACGAACATTAAAATGTTCAAATGTTTTGCTATTTTGAACAGCTCAGTAATGAGTACCAAGTAAATGATCATTTCACTTGAATGCAAGTGTACCTAGAAACTCAGTTTCTCAGAGGTTTACTAGAATTAATAGTATCACACAGTCACATAGAGGTTTTAAAGGTATATATTCCCACCAGTAATGTACGAGATTGCCCGTTTCCATACTCTTTCCTCAACCCCAAGCCTGGTAAAACATTTGATCTTTGGCAACCAGCTTATTGAAAAATGGTATTGCCGTATAGTTTTAATTTTTTTTAATTAGTGTGGTTTGGCATCTTATATTTATTTTTATTCCTTTTCCTATGAGCTGTCTGTTCATATACTCCCTAATTTTTCTGTGGGATTTGTAGTCTTATATTAATTTGTAGTAGTTTTTTTTTAATTAGAAAAATTAGATGTTTCTCATATGATTGCAGAAATATTTTTCTGGTTCATTATTTGTCTTTTGACTTTGCTTTTGGTGGCTTTTGCTATACAGATTTTAATTATGTGGTTGAATTTATCAAACATTTCAAGGCCTTTTGAGTTTTGTGCTACTGCTAGAAAGGCCAACTCCAAAGTTATAAAATAATTCTTCTGTGGATTTTGTGTTTTTTATGCTTTTTAAATTTTACATTTTACATTTGAATTTTTGGCCCATTTAAAATTTATCTGTTTATTTTTTAGATGATTATCTGATTGCCCAAAGAATATTCACTGAATGACACTTCTATGTAATGTATTTATGGTAATAATTAAATTGTTTACAGCAAAAAAATTAAGTTTAATTAATATGGTCAATGAAGATTAGCTTGACTGGATACTTTCCTCTCCATCCTTTTCCCCAATTTTCTTATCCTCTCCTTTTTTCTTTCCTGTGCTTTTCTTTTCTTTTCCTTATTCATGAGGCTTTATATATCTATATTTGCATCAAAGTTACCAATATGGCTTTACTGAAATGTGGCTATACTTGTCCTCTTTGAGAGTAGATAAATTATTAAATTTTATTGGAAATTTTTTAATTTGCAAATTATATTATGCAACTTTATAGTGCATCTTGTTTTATGTAGTGTATTGCTTTTACACTCTCTGGATGAAGTTGCTATAAACTGGTAACAAAAATAAATAATTAGCTACTATAAAATGGTTTTCACTTATGCAGGAACAGTGGACAAAGAGAATTATTAAAAATTTTAGCCCCCCCCCTGCCATTAACAATTTAGCTTTCATGAAGTACTAAATCTTTTTGTCCCTCAGTTTCCTCATTTTCTTTATTTTTAAATATTTATTTAATTTTGTTTATCATTATTATTATTTTTTATTTTAACTTAAAAATTTTTATATACCTTCAATCATTTTCATAATTGCTTGCTATAACAAAAGGACTTTGAAATCTCTAATTTTAATATTCTACTAAAATTTATTTTAACACAAGCAATCTGTCTCTAGCACAAGGAAATGATAAAGATCTCACAACAAACACATGGCAAAATACATATTTTAGTTGTAAAACAATGCACAGGGTTGCTTAAACACACTGGAATAGATCTTATGTATATAAAGAATCTTCCAAAAATGTATGGGAAACGTATCATATAAACAAACCCTATGCATGGATTTCAAAAATTTTTTGCACTAAAATGAACTCTCACTTTAATTCCATTTCCCATGAACTTTCTGAAGTCCCCTTGTATATTCAGATCCTTATTGACTATCTCTTTAGACTTATTATGTAGTTGATTGATAATAAATAGCACGTATGTCTACAAGGAAGAAAGAAGAAAGAAGTTACGGAGTCTATCATCAACCTAAACAGCTAAGAGTTGCTACAATCACTGGAGGATGTGAGGTGGTACCTTCGTAGTTGATGCAGCCATTGGAGTCTTCTTGACCTGCCAACAGGGCTTCCACTTCTTCCTCTTTCATCTTTTCACCTGATAAAACAAAACTCTTCATTCAGAAAGTAGGCCACAAAATATGTTAAAAATTTCACCATAGGTCACCAGCCATTGAGCTTCTGGAGATTATAATTAAAATCTTAGAGCACAGAAACTATGCCCTTCCTGCCACTCTAGCACTTTGTATTTTGTTAATAAATTGTTTCTGAATGAATAAATCGGATATCCATTTTCCTTGATCATCCAAGCAATATCCTATAAGAACTGCAATGTTTAGTTGTACTTATTTACTACCAATACATATATACATTTTTTTCAGAGAGAGATTTTGTTATAGGGTACATGTGCTTGCCAGAAAGAACAGAGAGAGACAGAAAGTGAGAAATCATCCTCAGGGGTGCCTTCTCCTCCAGTATTCTCTTGGGATTGGGCACACACACACACACACACACACACACACACACACAGTGTGAGTTTTAAGCCTCCAGGTTCGGGATTTGAACTGCAGTTGACTACATGGGAGTCCGGCGACATAACCATTATGCCATCTGTTGGTCCCCTTTACTACCAATATTTTAAATGACCTTTTTCTCAAAACAAATGCACTGTCACTGAGGCCAATGGAAATGGTCATTAACTTTTGACTATTCTTTTTCATTTGTCCATTGTAGACTTTGTAGGAGGCCATCTATTTTGGTCATAACTTGGTTCTCCTAAGGCATGCTCTTTCCTAGACATTCTGCCCTCTTAAGTTCATAAAATAAATTATTCTTACCCAGGGTGGCAAGAACATGGCGAAGTTCAGCGCCCATGACCGTACCATTGCCTTCCTTGTCAAAGACACGCAGCCCCTCAACAAAATCTTCATAGCTGCCCTGGTCCTTGTTGTTGGAAATAGCTTGCATCATGGGCAGAAATTGTTCAAACTCGATTTTCTTGGCATTCATCTCTGAAAGAAGTTGCAACTTGGAGTTATTAGTAACCACAAGATACCATCTGGGAGTCACAAATAAAGTTCATTCTAGATGATATGAAAACATTTACACAGCTTAAAATTCTCTTGGTAAATTTTTAAAATAAAAAATATATGGTAATCGATAATAGCCTGAACTCCAGAGTCCCAGCGCCTGAATTTTGTTCCCAATCCACATTCTCCACTATGTGACAGTGGGCAAGATAATAACCTCTTTATCTCTCAGATTTTCATCAGTAAAAGAGAGATACCTTCTAGTGTTGTGAGAACTAAATACAATAATGCGAGCTTATTAGAACACTTATCATAGGGGCTGGACAGTGGTGTAGCAGTTAAAAACATGACACTATGCGGCTGACTGGCACAGGAATGTTCCAGAATCATTTCCTCAGTCCTCCCTGAGTGTATTAGGCAGCACACAGCGTGTTCCCATGATCCAGAGCTAGCTGAGCAAGGGGGTGGATCAAAGCATCACAGTCTTTTGGGAGGTGCTATTGGTCTGTCACTCTCATTCATGGAAGAAATAAATAAGTGAACTTAAAAAAAAGGAATATTTTGAACAAATGGAGTGCTTTAAGAAGTGTTAGCTACTATTTTATCATATTGCCAATTTAATCTTTTCTCTAAATACTAGAGATGCAATATAAAAATATACTGAGATACAATAAAGCCAACAGTGACATGTAAATATAGTCAAATTTAGTTGAATTTTAATACATATTCCATACTCTAGCTTATGAGGAGTATGTATGTCAAATATTTTGTGATCTTCTGACTCCCTTGCAACTGAGAAGCAGAAGACAACAGGACTTTCTTTAGTATTGTCTGACAAGGTAAATGTCATTCACAGCAAAAACATAAAGTAGACTATGAAAGTGAATGCAACTGGATGAAACTATGTTTCAAAATCAAATCAAAATTTTCTTTTACTACTCCTCTCACAGAATAAAAACTAAGTACATCGATATATATATATAAAACACATATATGCACACATATGTATGTATATAAAGATATACATATACATACATATATATGTGTGTGTGTGTATATATATATATATATATACACACACACACACACACACACACACACACACAGACATACATACATATATTTATTTGCTATAGGATACATATGCTTGCCTGAGAGAGACAAAGAGAGACAGAGAGAGACAAAGTGAGAAATCATAACCCCCCCCCCCCCACACACACACAGGGGGATTGCCACACAACAATCCCTTTTCCTCCATTTTCCTCCAGGGATTTTGGGCAAGTACACAAATGCACCCTCCATGATTTTCAAGCTTCTGGGACTGGGATTCGAACTGTGGTCTGCCATGTGTGAGTGCAGCGCCTTAACCATCATGCCACCTGCTGGCCAATGTACATCCAGTGATAATAAAAAGACTAAATTTGACTGTTAAATAAATGAGCACTTACATAGTAATTCTATTGAAGATGGATGTCTGGTAAGTTAGGAAATGATATTTTCAAGTAAGGTTTGGCCTATTGTTCTCCTTTTAATCTCATGTTCTCAACTACTTTCTGCATGACTTAACTGGAAATTTTTCTCTGAGGAAAATGAAGATGAAAATTTCAAAAGAGTGACATAATGTTTTTATATCAAATTCCACCCCTCTTTTTTTTTTTTTTGGAGAGGTTTTTGCTATAGGGCACATGTGCTTGCCAGACAGCCAGG